TCACTTAGATATCTCTTTTAGTTATCTCACTTAGATATCTCTCTCAGTTATTTCATTCAGACAGCTAGGTGATCAGACTGCATGGTAATCATTTATAACAAGCAACGGAACACATTATCCTACGTTTACTTTAACTTAATTTACTATGCAATATGAGGTCATCTCGACATATTTAGCATACACAATTTGTGTTTAAACGAAATTACAAGATCTGGAAATTAACTCTGTTATACACATAAGACTGTTTTGTGTAATCCGCACGATCGAGCGCCATCTTCACGTACATTATTATAAACTGTTCTATGCACCGCAGTGGGCATGCAACATGGAAAACTGGAACAGAGCATCGGCTAGATGACATTAAGGTTTCGATCGGTTACATAACATGGTGACAAACAAAACTGACAAGCTGTTGGCACCAGAAAATAGTACTAATGAAAATTGTGTTTTCCCTGCACACACACCCTAGCATAAAAGCCTTTATCAGAATAGACGCCGTTTATTTACCGAATGCCTGGGCGCACAAACGCGATGTATCCGCAATTCTGACTCATCTCTCACAATCAAATGCAGCATGTAGGATAGCGTGAGAGTTCGTCCGTCCGTCCGTCAGCAATAGTTGCACAAATGTAAACAGCTCGATGTGCGGCGATGTTGAAATTCGAAACGACATTGATAGGTTGAATCTGTGGGGTCAAGTGTCAACTGCCAGGGTCAAGGCGTGAAGGGACGGGAATATCCTCCCCTTAATTAAAGCAATATAACCGTCATTGATGAAACGCGGAATTGTGGCACAAATAGAAAAGATTGAGCTATTCTTTTGATTTTCGGGATACAGAGTCAAGGTGACAGAAGCCATTAAGCTGGTAAAATTAAAAGTTACATGTCAAAGGACAGTGAAGTAATGGACGGACCTCAGACATTTTAGAAGGCATCGTCTAACGAACTGAGTCGAATTCTTTTTTATTTTAGTGGTGACCTAATATTTTAATTGCTTCAATGAATAAATAACTGATTCTACTTTTCATTGATCTCTGAGAAATCGCTGTGCGATAATCCTTTGCCCATAAAGAGGATATTTGAATGCCGAACTTATACTCGTGAAAAAAATCTGAAATGCCTTCTTTAGTAGAGCGTCTGTGTTGATGTGACTGGCTAGAATCTTATTGTTAAATTTCTCAGTTAAAGAAGTTTTAATTTACAGTCTAACCAGGTTAAATATGAGATGCATTCAGTATCTCAGATGCCGTAATACAGTTCCATACACCACATAACAGGCAGACAGCAACCACCGTATCCTGTTTCGCAATCATATACATGCACTTGCATTAATACGTAGCAGCTATGTTTGCGTGGCGGTTGATATATACAGCCAAGAGCGTATTAAGTATGCTTAAATATAGAGCATACTTAAGTATGCTTAATTATAGAGCATACTTAAGTATGCTTAATTATAGAGCATACTTAATACGTTTTTGATACAGTGCATTACACGTCGCTTACTTTGCATTTGTTGTGATGCCTCGACCGCCATTACTGATGCCCATGCAATGTGGTAAACAGTACGTTACGTGTTACGCGATCGCTCATTTACCGAGGAGTTGGGGGATATCCTATATATAGTGTACGTAGGATAACTTTACGGGAGTACTCCTGATAGTCTATCTCCCTCCCTCCCCTTCACCTGCCTCCCCCTTTCTCTTCGACCTCTTTCTCTTCCCCCGTTCCTCTCACGGATGAGAACAATCACGTTGCGGCACTTGTGTGGCTGGCTGATACGTGAAATTCGAGAAAGACACATTTCTATTGCATTTCAGAAGCGCTAAACGAACTGAACTGTGACTTTGCAACTTCCATATTCTTTCTCTCAACCAGTGACGCCGACAGTCAGGTGAGAACTGTCGCTCTGCATCACTTGCTGTAAGTTGCTTTGTATCTAACTGCCGCATTGACGCGAACATGCATAGCGTGTGTGATAGTCAACGAGTAAATAGTCGTAAACGGTTATAAGAGTGCAACTCACGTCAGAAAAAAAATTAAACTTTATTCAGATATATATCTGCTAACAGGAACAAGTCTCTAAGGTAAATATTACACATGAATGGATTATACGCCATTTGCCGTGAGAATAGTATTAACGCATTATCCAGCCTAATAAATAATACTCAGCATGGCGCATTCGATTTTATTCAAATTAATCACAGTAATATACCCGAACACATAGATTATTATAGCCAAAGATTTTGCAAATATCGACGTTAGATTAATTTAGCAACTGGCAAATTAACATAATTTCCAGCAAAAGATATAATCTACGATCTTTTGCGTGTATTGCCTGAACAAACCTGCTAGTATTAGCTAAAAAGAAGTATTCGTAAACGACCAACTTATTGTTATTTTATGACAAGTATAGCATAGAGGTAGGACTACTATAGTTGAATAACAACGACACAAGATATAATACGTAGGTGAACATTTTGAACATTTCAAGTCTCTATGATTATCTTTTGCCTCTCCATCCGCTATATATTCAGGTAGTTAGGCTTCATTCCGGGATGGTGCCCGTCTATTGACATACTTGATTATAAGACCTGACACTACTTCTAGAATTAAAATTACTATACCTGCAGTAATGCCACATATGTAGACAACAAACAGGCTTTGCAGCTGAGATAGTGAGACGAAATTAGCTGATACGGTAATTTGTTCTGGGGAACATGGGTTAAATGGGCTGAAATCCGTCCTCAGTTTCTCCAGAATTCCGCTCTCCGTCAGGTATTGCACACCGGTGTTCAGCTCATCATAATATGGATTGCTCAACGTCATCGCACACGTGTTTTTTACTGTGAAAACCTCTACTGGGGCAATGGAAAATCTGCATTTAGCAGATGTATTGTAATCATTGCGAATATCTAATGTGGATATCAATTTACTACCCGCGAGAAATGTATATTTCCCGGTCGAAACTAAATCATATGCTTTTCTGTCTGAGTACACAATAGCTTGGGGATCAGCAGCAACCTTCCCCCACATTTTTCCGAATACAGATTCAGGGTTACTTCGTTTAAGCAGCGATTCAGCAAGAAAGCCACCTCGCATAACTGGAGTAAGCTCGCTCTCTGCAGCTTCGTGGAGGGTCGTGAACGGGTATTGGGCCGTTGGTTTTACGGTTAGAAAACTCGTCAGTGTCCCCGTGTATATAGCTAGTATGACAATCATAAACATCCACCACCATCCCTGCAACATGCGGGAAGCCATGAATGCATTGGTATATGTACCTCCTTGGTTTACCAATGTACCATAAATGTACATAAATCCGTCAGCGCACTTCACCCACCGACTGGTCGCGCGGTGCTGGGTAATTCTTAGTTCTTGAAACAGAATCAGTAGCATGGCTGTAATTACAGAGAATGCAATCAGTGCTAACCAGGTCTGTGCAGTGAACGGTGCAA